AACGTGGTGTCCATGCGGCGCATCGTCAACACCGTGCCCATCACCGTGCGCCTGCTGCAGCAGCAGCAGAGGGACTTCGGGGGCCCCACGCCGCGCCAGGCCGTGGCCTGGGTCGGGCTCGCCAACCAGTGGCCGTGCCGCCTCAGCTGGGTGCTGCAGTGCCTGGAGGACGGGCAGCAGGCGGGAGGCGCGCCCGAAGGCCGCACGCGCCTCTGGGACGTATTCTGTGACAACAGCCGCGAGCTGCACACCATGACCAAGGCGTTGCAGAACGTGCTCGACCTGGACGGCGACCCCGAGCTGTTCGAGCGCTTCCTGGGCGCAGACTTCCCCTTCACGGTGGCGGAGGCGCAGAGCCTGCTGCGCTGCACCGTCAACCTGGACCACTCCATCCGTCGCCGCATGGGCCTCATCCGAGCGGTCAGCACGCTCAAGCCGCCCAGCCCGCCCAAGTCCCCTGCTGGGGACGCCCCTCGCGCTGCCAGTGGATCCAGCCACGCCCACAGGGCGTCCCCAGCACACGCCCCTGGTGGGTCCCTGTCTGGCTGCACAGGGCACTCCCACGAGGCCCACCACCCCCGGAACTGGGTCCACGGGGGCAAGCCAAAGCCACCAGCCTGAGCGCCTTTCACTCCAGTAAGGCCTTGAAGGGAGGACTGGGCAGGCAGCCAGAGGCTGCTGACTCCTTCTGTGTCCCGACCAGAGTTAGGGGACTGGGCCCAAAGCCCAAGGTCCAGTATCCAGATGAGGTCTATGGTGGCCTCATCCCCCAGGTGACTTGTGAGCCAGGGAGGGCCCTATAGGACCCTCCAGGGGCACCCAGTACCAGTGTCAGTGTCCCCGTGGTACGGAAGGGCCAGCGAGGGTCCCGGGTTCAAGTGCAATAAACGAAGGTGTGGTGTGCCCCCTTTGGTCTTCTGTCCTGGTCTTCCTGGCTCAGGACTGGTGACTAGGCCTGCCGGATCCTGCCAAGCCCGCTTCCTCAGGCAGCTGGGGTGCTGAGCTGTAGGCTGGCAGCCTTGGCTGGCATCTTGGCGGGAGGAGGGGCTGTGGGGGTGGTGGGCGCGGCTGTAGCAGAAGTAGCTAGGGAGATGAAGGGCAGAGGGGCTGGGCTGACTCAGGCCTCTGGGAGTGTCCAGGCTTCAGGGGATCCCAGGTCCCTGGCCCTATTCCCTGGCCTGCCCCTCTGTGAGCAGGGCGGGAGCTGGCATTTCCGAGGGTGGTGTCCCTCGGTGACCTCAGCAGCTGCCACCCATCCCCACCTGGGGTGGCTCCACCCTCAGCACAGGGTTAATTAGGCCTCCCTGGCACCTCAGCCAGTTGTGAGGGCAGTGCAGCCTCCCCCAGATAACAGTCCGGGGAGTGCCTGCTCCACAGGTCACTCCAGGGCCACCTGAGGCTGGTCACCGACTGGTCACCAGGTCAACCCCTTGAGGACAAGGGAGGAGGGACACCGAGGTCAGACAGAGTTCGAGTCAGGGATATGCAGGGGGTGGTGTGCTGGGGAGCCCTCGGCATGTGCTCCGCCTTCCCCTCCTGACTGGGACAGACACGGATGGCACCGTGTGGTGCCTGGCCCAGCCCAGTGCGTGCAGGGGCAGAGGTGGCAGGGACCGACGTTGAACATACTCTGGTGCCAGAGGGCAAGGATGAGACTTAAGACAGGGCCCTGAGGGAACGGTCCCAAAGGTACCCAAAACTCTGAAGGCACGTGCCCTTGGCCATGTGGCCGGCGCTGCTGGCCTCACTCCTGAGCTCCAGGCCTGGGTGCAGTGCCCAGGCCTGGCCAGCCCCTGCCCAGCATCCCTACTGCCACAGCAATCGCATCAGGTGGCCAGGGGTGTCTCCTGTGGCCTGCAGTGGGACCAGCAGGACGCAGGTGTTCCCTGGTATGGCTAAACTGGTGGGAGGAGCCTGGGGCTGCTGGGGATGGTCCCAGCCGCAGGGCGATCCTGCCCCAGGACACAGCCCAAATGCAGGGCATGCAAACGCAGCTGTGGACACACGCCGGTGACCTCAGCAGCTGCCACCCATCCCCACCTGGGGTGGCTCCACCCTCAGCACAGGGTTAATTAGGCCTCCCTGGCACCTCAGCCAGTTGTGAGGGCAGTGCAGCCTCCTCCAGATAACAGTCCAGGGAGTGCCTGCTCCACAGGTCACTCCAGGGCCACCTGAGGCTGGTCACCGACTGGTCACCAGGTCAACCCCTTGAGGACAAGGGAGGAGGGACACCGAGGTCAGACAGAGTTCGAGTCAGGGATATGCAGGGGGTGGTGTGCTGGGGAGCCCTCGGCATGTGCTCCGCCTTCCCCTCCTGACTGGGACAGACACGGATGGCACCGTGTGGTGCCTGGCCCAGCCCAGTGCGTGCAGGGGCAGAGGTGGCAGGGACCGACGTTGAACATACTCTGGTGCCAGAGGGCAAGGATGAGACTTAAGACAGGGCCCTGAGGGAACGGTCCCAAAGGTACCCAAAACTCTGAAGGCACGTGCCCTTGGCCATGTGGCCGGCGCTGCTGGCCTCACTCCTGAGCTCCAGGCCTGGGTGCAGTGCCCAGGCCTGGCCAGCCCCTGCCCAGCATCCCTACTGCCACAGCAATCGCATCAGGTGGCCAGGGGTGTCTCCTGTGGCCTGCAGTGGGACCAGCAGGACGCAGGTGTTCCCTGGTATGGCTAAACTGGTGGGAGGAGCCTGGGGCTGCTGGGGATGGTCCCAGCCCCAGGGCGATCCTGCCCAAGGACACAGCCCACATGCAGGGCATGCACACGCACATGTGCACACCGGCCTCGTGACCGGCCAGTCTGGAGACGTGCCCTTGGGCCAAGCTACCTGCCCTCTTTGCCTCCCACAGCCAGCTGGAGTTGGGCCTGCTTCTTGCCCCTGGAGTCCGGGTGAAAACATCCTGGTACCAGGAGGGGGCTGCTGCGAGACAGACGTGAACAGACCTGTCTGGAGGTGGGAGCCAGGTGGGAGCAGGGCTGAGGAGACCCCCGCACCACCACGAAGCGGCATTCACCCTTACGTGGCACCAGGCAGTGGTCGAACGGTTGGCCATGTGCCACAGCTGGAGTTCTGGGGCACTTCGTAAAAAAACGAAACAAAGACGTCAGAGTGGCCTGACTGGCTGGATGGCCCCTGCCCCCTCGGACTCTCATTCCCCGACAACTTGGACCTAGGTGAGACCATGGGGCCAATTCTCACCAGCAAAATGGGGGTGCCTGTGACATGTTCCTTCCCCACCATGGCGAGTTAGGGAGCAGGCTTGCTGCCTTCTCCGTCTGCCCACTGGAGGCAGGGACTCCTGAGGCCCACAGGGTGACAGCTGCCTTCTCCGTCTGCCCACCGGAGGCAGGGACTCCCAAGGCCCAGGGTGACAGCTGGGACAGCTAGGAAGGCGCCTAGCCCAGGATCAGGTAGGGATAGCTGCTTGCCACTCTGAGCGCCCGCGTGACAGCACACGTCTCTGCTGGGCACTGAGAGCTGTAAGTTGGTGCTGCACTGGGCCACGTTGTCAAAGGTCCCCTGTGACTCCAGTGATAGCTCCCAAACGGAACCTGCGAAGTGCTTGGGGAGCTGAAGGCCAAGGGAGACATACTCGGCCTGGGGCTCCTCTCCACTCCCTGCTCTACCCAGCACACGGAAGTCGGGGTACTCCTGTCCTGAGGCTGCTGTGGCAACGTCCCGCCAACTGGACAGTCAGAACAAGAGTGCTTGGTCGTCTCGGGGCTCCCAGGAACCCAAATCCAGAATGAGGCAGAAGTACCGCCGCGCCTCCCCAGGTTCCGCAGGTCTGGCTCCCTGCTTGATGCCTGTCGCTCCATCCTGGCTTCCCGCGGAGTCGGTGTCTAAGGGCCCCGCTCTATGAGGGCCCCAGTCGCACTGGAGCAGGGCTCACCCTAAAGGCTCCATTCTAAAGTGACGACCTCTGCGAAAACCTGTTTCCAAGTAAGGTCGCAGTCCGAAGTAGGGCTTTATTTATTGGCGGGAGACACCATCCAACCCGTGACAGACTGGCTCCTTCACCCTGAGCTTGAACAAGAGGGCCAGGACAGGACTGGGAAGAGGACCCAGGTCCTCTTGGGTGGGCCTCAGGCACCTGCCCCAGCCCGCCGTGCCTGGAGTGCAAGCAGATTGTGGTGGAGGGCAAGGCTGGAAGTGACCAAAGGTCTATATTAAGGTCTTTGGGGGTTGCTCTGACAGACCCCAACCAGGCAAAGGACCAGATTCTCAGCACCCCGAGGCCAATACCTCATAGTCTCTGGTCTCGGCAGTGAGGGGCTGCTACACCACCCCATCACACGGCCACAGGCTGGCTGCACAGGTGTCTCCCAGCCCCGCACAAGGCCCGGGGGCTTCCCTGAGCCCTGCACCCACACAGAAGTGCTAAGTGTGCTGTCCTGGGGAGCAGTTACAACCTGTAGCTGCCACTGGCCCGAGTGTGGACCGAGTGGCTGCAGTAGGGAAGGTGGTGGTCACATACATGGGAGGGGCTGGGAGGGCCTCGATCTTCAGACCCCGTGACTGTCACAGCCTCGCTCTGGTACCCCTACGCCCGGCGTGGCAGCCTCTGCACCTGAAAGGGCGTGGGTGGCCAAGGCTTTCCCGTCAGGTGCTTCTCTTCTGAAGAACTGGACACCCCCTAGAAATGCTCAACACCCCTCCCGCTGCAGCCCAGGAGCATACTGGGCGGCACTGACTCGTACCTGGCACGCTGCCACCTAGAACAAGTGGGCTGGGATCTGCCCTTGCCGAGCCGAGTGCCCCGTGCAGCCCCCAGACTGCCTTGGACTGGGAGGTCCCTGACCTGGCTGTGCACAGGGGACTAGACGTGGGGGTGAGGGGACACACGGGGGCACTGTAGTGGGAGGGTGGCTCCTATCTGTCGTCTCCTGGTCCCGTGGGGGTCCCACGGCATGTACCTAGTGGCTGGCTCCTGATCAGGAGCTGTCGGGGTCCCTGCAGGGGGCACGTGGGTCAGCACGAAGCAGAGAGCAGGCAATGGTGAACCCAGCCCCGGTTTATCTGAAAAGGTGTGAACATTGTTGCACCGACAGGAGGAGCCCCTGCCCAGCCCTGTGCCCACCCACACCGCCCGCCCGTGGGTTGTAGTGCCTCTCAGGGTGCAGCCGCAAGTGGCCTGGACAGCAGTCCCCCAGACCTGCAGCTACTCCCACCCCAGCTCCCTGATAGATTTATTGCACTTAAGAGAAAGAAAGCTCTGACCCTCTACTCCCACCCCACCCGGCCCGGCCTTCCCCCTGCCTGGGGCTGTCCCGCCAATCTCCACCACCACTTGCTACCCTCCCTCGCTTTGCCTCCTGCCTGGTCCCACTCTCGGCCCTGGGCCCATCCCACCACCACCCTGGACTCCTGCCCTCAGTAGGGCAGACCTGGCCCCACAGGCCTCTCCAGAACAGGAGTCCAGTCGCGCGGCCCGAAGTCCTTGGAGGCCGCCCCTCCTCGTCCTCCCATCCACCCCCAGCCGAGTCTTCGAGTAGTGGACACACAAATAGAAGTGCTCAGTCAGGACAGGGAGGACCACTCCCCGTAGCTCCTGCACCCCTTGTAGTGTTGCTGTGGGGGCGGGGGTCCCCAGAATGGCCCCCACACCCCTGGCGTCCTTGGCCTCAGGAAAGCTGGGGGTGAGGGTGAGCAGATTCTCATGGCTCTGGCCTCAGTCCATCGAAGACCGACCGGAAAAAAGGAACTTGAGAAGAGATTGAGAAAGGGAGTGTCAGAGCCAGGGGCTCCCCCAGCCCCTCCCCAGCTCCCAGGGGCTCCAGGGACCTGGCCCTCGCCTCACCTAAAGTGTCACAGTGTCTCCTGCCCAGATTCCTGACTGGCTTCCAGAAGCAGCTCCTCGAGCTCCTTCGCGTTCTCGGAGCAGCTCAGTTCTGTGGGGAGGGCGGGCCGGTGGCCTCCAGTTGGTGGGGACTGGGTGGACAGAAGCCAACCTGTCCCCACCAGCCCTGCCCAAGTCAGGCCCTCAGGCCAGCAGAGGCCCCAGGGACCAGCATTGGAGTCAAGGCAACACATCTAGCATGTCCCAGCCCCCCAGGACCCAAAGGAACCACGTGGGGACGGAGGATCAATTCCCACCTGTCCTTGCCCGCTCAAGGACCACTCTAGAGGAGAAACTGAGGCCCACCAAGGAGCAAGTGTGAGCCTGGAGTTGCCCTGCTCAAGCCCTCCTCACCGTGTTCCAGGCCGCAGCTGCCCGCCTTGGCCTCAGGCCCAGGGGGTGGCTCTGGGGGCAGTGCCAGAGCAAACTCGGGCTTCAGGCCATTGGGCAGTGGTGGCCCTGACTGAGGCGGCTCCGGCTGTGGCTGAGGCTCGGATGACTGTGGGTCCTGGGTGTCAACAGCCTCAGCTGGTGGTGGGACAGGGGAAGCAGGTGGAGAGGGAGGGGAGGACAAGATGGGGGAGGGGGAGGACACAGAGACGGGGGGCCGGGGGGGCTCCGGCCTCTCAGGTGGACTTTCCACCCGGGTCACCACAAACACCTTGTGGCCCCGGCCTGGGCTGGACACAGAAATCCGCTGCTCAGTTGGGGAGGAGGGGCTGCCTGGGGGGCTCCTGTCCCCAGGGCCTCGGGAGTCTGTGGGGGGCACCAGGACAGGGCAGGGGGCCAAGGGACTCTGGTCAACGCTGGCCTCATCCTTTCCCCCATCCTCTTCTTCCTCATCCTCCTCGTCCGAGTCTGAGTCTGAGTCCGAGTCTGAGTCGGGGCTGGGCCCAGGGCCTGGAGCCCCGTTCTGCGCCCCAGCATGGGGCTCGTCCGCAGGCTGCTCATGCCCCTCGGGCCCGGGTTCGTCGTCGGGCTGGGGCTCAGTGACAGTGATCTCGGGCATGGAGGCCGACAGCTGCAGC